GCTCTTTTATACGCCCTTACAACAATTGGTTCATAGTGTTTTTTTATATTTCATGACTACCACATCATCTCTGACCTCTGTGAGGGTATTAATCAGCATTTTTCTTTCTTTTTGAAATTTTATTTTTCTTGTACAATCTGTGTTTCCTGTGATTTCCTTTCCTTTCCTTTCCTTTTTTTGTGGGTGGGGCAATTATTTTTGATGTGAAATTCTTTCTTTTGTATGGTGGTTCATGAATGTTGGTATCAACAGAGAATATTAAAACACTGACTGGCAGCTTTGTAAGTGTAGATGATGTGGGGTGATCTGACTGACCATTTCCTTGGGAGTATCAGGGCAGTATCTTTCCATCTTCCCTCTTGGGTTGCTCATGTTCCCAGATAAAGAGTCATACTGTCCTGCCAGTGTTGTGGCAGCTGAGGAGGAGAGGAACGCTGTACAGTTTTGTAATGATTGTGTAAACATTTACTCCTCTTCCTGTTCTCAGGGACTCTCAAGCCCTGAGACTCATAGTTTTAGGATCTGTGGAGAAACCTTCTTCAGCCTCCTGCCAAAGCGGGGCAGGGGCAGTTGTGAATGAGGATACAGGACTATGTTTCCTAAGTGGACTTTAATCTATTTATATCCCCTTTTCCAGAGGAGATGACACCCTCAACTCTGAACCTGTAGTGTTACATGATTAAAATTATAATTAAATGTGTAGGATGTGCTAAGGTAGGTATGCTTATCCATTTGTTGTCTAGCTTCTAATTTTTTTTCCTGTTTTCTTTATGCCTAGAGATTTTCATTATTTTTTAACCCCACCAATATTTTAATGCAGCTTCAGGAAGGAGTAGAGCTCAATTAATATATTCAGTACATCTGTAACTAAAAGCATTACCAAATCAGTCCAAAATCTCAGTGATAACAGTGAAGTATTTAGAACAGAAACAGTAGTCACGTCAAATGCTGTAACAGTCAGGTCGTATCTGGAACAATGTTTTCCATTCTGAGTACCATAAACCATGGTTAACAGACTATATACAGACCAGAGAAGAGGTGACAGCAGTTCAAGATGCAAAGCCAAAGTTACATAAGAAGCATGTCTTGTTATTTCTCTAGGCAAAAGAAGGTTTCAAAGATGCTCTGACCAAAATCTGAATGCAATTCAAGTGAATATCCATGGGTCAATTATGTCAACTCTTTGTTCAAAGGTTTTGGAAGGGTGAGAATATTATAGCTCTCTTTAATATTTAATGGACTTTTGTATTCACAAGAAATTCAACATCAAGCTTGGTTTTAGATGGTATAACGAGGATAAATGAGCCAAGTGAAAGTAAATTACATCCTGTCTCAGTGTAAGGATAATCTTACACAGGGATCTCAGATACCAACATGAATAGCAATGAAGTAGATGGTATAAATCAGCTGGCTGGAAAAGATATTAACAAACTGAAAATTGTGTGCCACATAAGTAGAGGGAGTAATAGTATTGAAAAATTCATTTTTTCACAGGAATTCAGACATTTTTCTATTTATTTGTCTTATTACAAGTTTTGGACAATAATTTTTAAAAGTTGATGTCTTATCAGACAAATGGGCAGGGTGAATTTATTCTATGGGACTCCAGTTTGTGACCTTTGTAATGCCTGTGCCTAACATTTCAGTTATCATTGGAGGCATTCAAATAAGACTGGTTGTTAATGTGTCAGGCATGCTATTGGGAATAAAGCTGACAAAGAATGTATAGTTGTCTTTTTTACTTAAGAGAGTCTCTGTTGAGTGTTCACTGTGTGATACCCACTCCTTGCTTTTCCTTCTTAGTCTTTTATCTTTTTTGGTCATTTAATGTCATTGGGTAAACCACATAGTCTATGTTATCATATGTGACAACTTATGTTATCGTATATGACAATTTATATTTATATTATATAAATAATGGGGATATTTTAGAAGAATCATCAAGCATAAAGCACACTTATAAAACAAACTGATGTTAAGGGTTGTTTATTGTTTTCTATAATCTATATAGCTACTGCATCCCCCAAAGAAATTGTATTACTTGGAGTATTTATTGGAGAAAATTATATAGGTATAGTGGATTCACACATAAATTTAAAAAGCTGGGATTCACATTTTGAGCCAAAATTCATTCCTATAGTTCACATTTGAGGATCTTGAGACCTAAAGAAGTTCAATAACTCACCATGTCACTTCCTGTACATAGCATATGGTGTTGGACAGAATAGGAAAGAGAAGATATGACCTTATTCTTAGGAAGTTTACAAATTCAAATGATGAGAGGAAATCATAAAACATGTATTAGATGCAAATTCAGGAATAGGGATCTAATTTTATATCATTGTGATAACTCCTAAGAGATTGAGAATTCACTTCAAAGAATAGAGACAAAATGATACTATGACTATGTAACTCAGGACATGTTCCATGTTGGATGATGTTCCCCATGTTTTGTTCCTGGTCTTCCTTCTCCTTCCTAAGCCACAAATTCTATGCTAGAAATCATTTTCATATGTGTAATAGTGAATTGGGAATGAGAGATGAACAACAGGTTAAAAATGAAGAGCGAATGCTAGTGATTAAACAATTAGCTTTCAACCAAGTAAGCATTAAAATGACTTTACCTTTAAATTTAATGAGGCATTAATACTTTTAATGAATTTGAATGCATTTTACCCTTTTACCATAACATAGTATTAATTTGTTCCATACAACTCCGACTTCTTTTCATAAAGAAAATATTAGAAAATAATCATCTTATCTTCATACATATGTATACTATTGAGGCGATAATTATTAAGAGAATGAAGCTACAAATTAAATTAATTCATTTTCTTCATAACATGTCAAAGTAAGAAAGACATAAATATCAAAAGACTAAATCTATCATTTTAAGAATAACTGTCTCATGACTGGGAAAGTTTAAACCGGTGCAAAAATAAGGTTGACAGTCGTTCATGAAAAGAAAATGCAAGCTTTGAGTTTTAGTGTTATGTTTATAGATGATTTTCCAAGAAGATATGTGCAAGGTATTATTCACTGCAGGAAACTGGAAGGTATAATATGATGAAATAAGGATCACATTTTTCTCTTTGAGGTGATTTATATTTAAATGAGTTCTCTATAATCCTTTAAACTGAAGCGCAAATTGGTTATCAAAGTCCTTTGCTGTAAGGGTTGCTTTACATAATAATGAATTTCACAGAAGTTCCTCAAAGCGAAATATTGATTTAGGCAACATCACAGGATATTTCAGTTATAGCAACACTTTAGATTGGTGCCTCAGACAGCATATAAAAACTTTCCAAAGTTTAAATTTCTTTATGAAGAATAGGCAGTGTTCCTTTCTCAGTAGAAAATACATTTGTAATCAAATTTTTAATAAAGAGATTCTACTTAGTCTATCATTTCTCATCTATATTAACTTAACAGTGGTAGGGAGATTGACCACACGCTAGGCACATGCATTTTGTTTCTTAAAAAAAAGCTAAATAAAAGTGGTAGGAAAGGTTCATTTGTCTGTACATATGAGTGCTGCCACTAACCCTTGATAGCTCCCGTTAATAAGACTATAACTTTGTGCTAGTTACCACGCTGTGTAATTTACATGTGCAGTTTTATCCTTTCCTTGCACTGTGAGGTAGCCGTAACTGTTCCTCATGCTGTAGTGAGAATAATTGAGGCTGAGTGATGTATCAGTTCTGCACCACTATGTATGTCTCTCATCCTGGACGCTATGCCACCCCCTCCCCCTCATAGGTGTTTTGTTCTTGAACTCCATGTGGCTCATCACCAGAAGGTAACTTTTAGCTGTCACCCCAGAGCTAACGATCAACAGACAGGTTCCTGTCTATTATATAATAGGACAGAGGTGCTAGGTCTCAACTGTTTCTTATCTGTGAGGAGTTACCTAGGTAGTCTCATTTCATTGAAATACTGGCACCAGCCCTGGGAAACACTTGAGATTGAGGCTATAAATTAGAAAGGATAGTGAACTCAGTCACAAGACCTAGGTTTGAGACTCAGGTCTATCATTAACTAGATATGTGGTTACAGAAAAATCAGTTTATCTCCTTGAACCTCTTAGTATTTCCATCTACAAAATGAGGTTCAGTTTACTAATAGCTTTCAAAACTTTATTGTTCATTTGCTATTTTTTAAAGTATAATTTTTTCAGTAAATTAAGTCTTATGTTGAATCTCAATATGAAAAAGCAGATGCGGGTAGAGTTATACTTGTTGGAATAAGTCTGGGTGTGCAAGGGACCTGAGTTTATCATTTACCTACTATGTCTCTTCCTAACCTCCAGCTCATCTCCAAGGAGGCCTCCAGGGCATCTAAGGCTTGCAGAACACAATTTCCAAACTATTGACCAGCTCTGAATTCATCTTAGTTCAAATCTTCCATGATTTAAAAAAGTATCTGTAGCCACATGAAAAAGGACATCAAACTTGTATTAGAATGGAGAGAAGCTATTAAATTCTAAAGAATATAATTAAATAACTTGGCCCATGAGTGCCAGGGGCATGCTGTTAGTGTCAAGGTTCTTGAAATTGAGTACAGATGTTTTGCAGACTGTCAGCAAAGGCTGGACTTGGGCATTGTAATAATTTTTGAAACTTTAAAAATTTTCCTCCAGCACTGTAACAAAATATGAATATCATTTTAGCTTAATATTAATATCCTATTCATTGATTTTATTTTCTTAAAACTTACTTGATATTAAGATGTAAACTTTCAAATGTGATTCAACTATTTCTGAATATTTTATCAGAATACTTTTCCTTTTTTTAAAAAAATGAATCAGTAAAATTAGTAGATATTCTCCTAAAGTAATCATATTTCATCATTGCAAACTCTTGGTTTAAAGAATTTGCATATCTGCATACAACTCTAATACTCTGACAGTGTCTTCCTGGCCCTGCACCATTTCTGTGACTGACAGTGTTTTGCTGGTTTAATTCCAACCCTGTCTGTGGCCACAGACTCTTTTCACTTACCTGCTTCTGCCTTCTGCTGTTTTTCAATCTTCTCCAGGCGCCCTAGCAAGGAGTCAATTTTAGTTTTGATCTGGGTTAATTCTTTCTTGATTGTCTGTAACTCGTCTGATTTCACTGGAAGGGAGAAAGGGGAAAGAAAACAACAATATCCAATGCATCATGATTCACTTAGAACACAGCTCACAGATACTCCATGTCACCTCAAGACTGTGTCAAATTGCACAGGATACTTTGAGCAGCTTCTCATTACTTCTAGTGATCCTGGAATAGTGGATGACTGCCAATAACAGGAATGGTTCTCAGTGATATGAAAGTTGACACTACATCTTCCTTTAGAAAAGATTTATCAATTTATTTATAAGAAACAGTGACTGAGACAGAGGCAGAGGGAAGAGAGAAAAGAGATCGTCTATCTGCTGGTTCACCCCCCAAATGCTAGAAACAGCCAGAGATTGGTCAAGTTGGGACCAGTAGCCTAAAACTCCATCTGGGTCACACACATGGGTGGCAGGGGCCCAAGTACTTGGGCCACCATCAGCTGCCTTACCAGGCATAGTAGCAGACAGGTGGATTGGAAACAGAGCAACCAGCATTTGAATGGGCACACAAATGTGAGATGGCAGCACTGCAAGTAGCAGCTTAATGCACTGTGCTACAGCACTGGCCCTGATATGATATTTTTGGACTGCAAGCTATGCAAAGAGATAAAGGAACCTGGAAATACTTTATTTTATAAAATAACTAACTGGTGTTGGATTTGGTTTGGCAAATAGTATGAGTGACTGTGTTGTAATATGTCCAAGTCAGTGATGTTTTTGGTGCAGCTCCTCATGGACTGACTGAAAACACAATGCAACATCTTTCCTCTGAAGAAACTCTCGTAGCTTCTAGAGAACTTCCCCAACTTGCTACCTCCCTTTTCCTTTCTAAACAAAATAAGGCAATGGGTGTGTAAGCCTCTCTTTAATCTATGGTACTTCAGGGAAAGGAACTCTCTGATATTTTCTACAGTAATGGTTCCCAATCTAGATTTTCATTGTTTAGCATAGCTTCAAGAAAAAGTACTGTGGATTAACAGAATTGACAGCTTTTCATTTTTCCAAGTATGGTAGTTAAAAACAACAATAGACCGGCGCCGCGGCTCACTAGGCTAGTCCTCCACCTTGCGGCGCCAGCACACCGGGTCCTAGTCCCGGTCGGGGCGCCGGGCCCTGCACCCCGTGGGAGACCAGGATAAGTACCTGGTTCCTGCCATCGGATCAGCGCGGTGCGCTGGCCGCAGTGCACTGGCCACAGCGGCCATTGGAGGGTGAACCAACGGCAAAGGAAGACCTTTCTCTCTGTCTCTTTCTCACTGTCCACTCTGCCTGTCAAAACAAAACAAAACAAAACAAAACAAAACAAAACAAAACAAAACAAAAAAACAATAATGTCCAATTGTCAACTGCAATAATAACAAGCATTATATAATATTTATTTCATTTTAATTTTGTATTTTCTTTTTACACTTGGTCTTAGCCCTAAAAGGCCAAGAAACTATATATTTTTTATTTTATTTTAAAAAAGTTATCACACAGACACACACATGCACAGAGTTCTCATCTACTGGGTCACCTCCCAGATATCTGCAAAAGCTAAAGTTGGACTGGGGTCCAAGCCAGGAGCCAGGTACACAATCCAGGTCTCCCATGTGGACAGCAGGAACATAATTACCAAGCCACCATTGCTGCCTCTATGGGTCTGCATTGGAGGGAAGCCAGAGCCAGGAACTAGAACTGCAAAATGAATGTAGGTACTCCAAAGTGGAATGCAGGCACCTTAATGGTTAAAAGCCTGCTCCTATAGTAATAGTTTTGTATAAAAACGGTCTTTTAATTATTTTATATAAAAATGTGGACAGTGTTTTGGTGCAGATGTTAAGTTGCCACTTTGAACACTGATAAGTTCGACATATCAGTGTGCTGGTTCGAGTTCTGGATACTTCATTTTTCATCCATCTTTCTGCTAACACACCTGGGGATGCAGAAGAAAATGACTAAGGTATTTGTGTCCCTGCAATACATGTGGGAAACCCGATGGAGTTCTTGGCTTCAGGCTTCAGTTGGTTCAGTTCTGGCTGTTCTGGTCATTTGGTGGTAAACCAGTGGATAGAAGATATCTCTATCTCTATATCTCTGTCTCTATCATCTCTATCTCTATCTCTATCTCTATCTCTATCTCTAACTCTATCTCTATCTCTATCTCTATCTCTATCTCTATCTCTATCTCTATCTCTTCTCTCTCCCAATCCCTCCCTCTCTGATGCTTTCCCTTAGAATAAATAAAATAAATGAGTCTTTTTTTTTTTTTTTAAATAGGCTTAATTGGGGTCGGCGTTGTGGTGCAGTAGGTTACTCCTCCGCCTGCGGCACCAGCATCCCATATGGCCTCCAGTTCTCATCCCAGCTGCTCCTCTTATGATCCAGCTCTCTGCTACGCCCTGGGAAAGCAGTAGAAGATAACCCAAGTCCTTGGGCCCCTGCACTCATGTGGGAGACCTGGAAGAAGCTCCCTGGCTCCTGGCTTCAGATCAGCTCAGCTCCTGCCCTTGCAGACATTTGGGGAGTGAACCAGTGGATGGAAGACCTTTCTCTCTCTCTCTCTCTCTCTCTCTCTCTGTAACTCTACCTCTCAAGTAAATAAATAAAATCTTCTAAAGGAATAGGCTTATATTTATGCAAAATTAACTACATTGTTCTTGTTTTATTTTTTTAGAACTGTGAGAAATTTTTTTTTGAATCTAAAATAACCAAAGATTAAAGATTTTAAAACTATCACTATATAGCAGCAACAGTTGCTTCTGAGTTTTCATTAAGTGAGCTTTTAGAGTTCCATGCTTTCTTTGGGGATTTCATGAAGCTGTGCATATACAAGATCTGGGGCATATACAAAGATCTTTTAAAAAGTTCATGGAAAATAAAATTAAAATATTATTTTGGTTCAAAACTATTTGAAATTTATGTATAGTTTTTCATATTATGTGCTTGACATAAATGTTTTGAAGACTTCTCTCATATGCATGGATTTAAATTTTTTGTATTCAAATAAATTTTATCAAATACATTTTTAATTTCACACATTTTCATGAAGTTTTTAAAATAAACTTGTATCATATTCCAGCCTATTTCATTTCGTTGTTATTTTTCTTTCAACATCATCATGATTTCATGTTATATATTCTCAGAAATATCTGAAGGAATTAGTGTTCACATTGATTCTCTAGTGTTCAGGACTTTCAAAAAATAATAAAAACAGGTCATAAGCAGAGCGACCTCAGGTCTGCACCGGCCCTGAGCCTAGCAGAAAAACCTGACTCTGGGCGGGGCGAATTAACAGGAGATTAGGACCTAGTAAATTTGTGGTGCTACTGAACTGAGACTGTGAAAAAAGAGACGGTGGGGGAGAGAACTCACGGAATTCTCGTGAGCACTCTCCAGAGATGCTACAATTCCATAACTTTGGCAACCCAGTGGGAGACTGAAGGAGAATTTGAGCCCACTCTGAGGGCCGAACAGATTCCCTGTGTGGTTCTTGGGAAAGAGCTTCTGATCTCTGGCTCCTGTGGGTATATCATTTGCCTGCTAACTACCTCCAACTTCATTCAGCTGTGCAGAATAACTTCCCTTTTGAATCAAAAAAAAAAAAAAAAAAAGAAAGAGAGAGAGAGAGAGAGGTTTACAACGCCTAACCTGGGAGTGTCACCTTTGGCACACCAAACAGAGCTCTCAGGCCACACCCATCTCAAGCCCTAAGGCTCCATCAAAAACAGATAGTCAACTTAATCTAGAGTCATAGTATAACAAGAAAAAGCACCACAGTGAAGAAACCAAATATCTCCAATATGCCAAAAAACAAACGCAAAAACCAAGGTAATAAAAACAAGGAAGTCACCATGAAGCCCTCAAATGAAAAAGACACTCCAATTCAAGATTATGAGGATGATGACATAGAAGAAATGCAAGAAGCAGATCTCAAAAAATTGATAAGAACATTAAGAAGTTCTCAAAAACAAATTCTTGAACTACAGAAATCCTTAATGGACAAGATAGAAAATCTCTCTCGTGAAAATGAAATATTAAGGAGGAATCAAAATGAAATGAAACAACTAGTACAACAGGAAACTGGGATAGTGACTGAAGTGAAGAATTCAATAGATCAAATGAAAAACACAATAGAGAGCCTTACAAACAGAATGGGTGAAGCAGAAGAGAGAATATCGGACTTAGAAGACAGAGAACAGGAAAGGATACAATCAGACCAAAGAAAAGAAGAGGAAATTAGGAATCTAAAACATATTGTTGGGAATCTTCAGGATACTATTAAAAAACCCAACATTCGGGTTCTAGGAGTTCCTGAAGGCATGGAGAGGGAGAAAGGATTAGAAGGCCTTTTTAGTGAGATATTAGCAGAAAATTTCCCAGGTTTGGAGAAGGACAGAGAAATCCTAGTACAGGAAGCCCACAGAACCCCTAATAAACACGACCAAAAGAGATCCTCACCACGACACGTTGTAATTAAACTCTCCACAGTGAAACATAAAGAAAAGATCCTAAAATGTGCAAGAGAGAAACGTCAGATTACTCTCAGAGGATCTCCAATCAGACTCACAGCTGACTTCTCATCAGAAACTCTACAAGCTAGGAGGGAATGGCGAGATATAGCCCAGGTACTAAGAGAGAAAAACTGCCAGCCCAGAATATTATATCCTGCAAAGCTCTCATTTGTGAATGAAGGTGAAATAAAGACTTTTCATAGCAAACAGAAATTGAAAGAATTTGTTGCCACTCGTCCAGCCCTGCAAAAGATGCTTAAAGATGTGTTACACACAGAAACAAAGAAACACGGTAATCAATATGAAAGAAGGTAAAGGAAGGAAACCAAGGAAGGAAAGCTAACAGCAAAAGATCACAGGGAATTCAAATCATATATTAGAACTTATCTTTGGCAAATGGCAGGGCAAAGTTACCACTTATCATTAGTCACATTGAACGTGAATGGCCTGAACTGTCCAGTTAAAAGACACCGATTGGCTGACTGGGTTAAGGAACAAAACCCATCTATTTGCTGCTTACAAG